ATGATTGCAGGTTTTAAAAGCGTTTCAATTGATACCAGATATTAAGTAAAAAATAATGACATTTAAATTACCCTAACATTTGAGGTATACTTTTCACGTGTAATACAATTGATAATAATAAGAGAGAGAGAGAGAGACTGTCAATCAAAGGTAAAATACATTATATTTACATCAAATAAAAAATGTTTAAAAAATACTTTTTTGTAATAATGTGTTATAAAAACATGATTTAGAAATTCATGAAAACACAATAAAAATAAATTGTAAAACAAAAACATGCAAAAAATCAATTCCCTATTTATTGAAAGTGTTTGAATCAAAATTGAAATGAAAATATAAAAAGTTAGCTGTGCTTTTGTTTTGCACGTAAAACCTGTTATGTTATGTTATGTCAAATAAACTAGTATTTCATAATAATTTTCCTACATTTCAATCATAAAAAAATTTTCCTAATAATTATTCGTTTAAACAAATTATTTCTAATGAAAAATAAAATTATACTTATTTTTCTATAACTTAATATTAAAGTAATACTTTTCGATACATCTCTCAAATTGGATGACATATTAAAGGAAAGTTTTATTTTAAATTCAAAACTTTCCTCGTGGTTAGTCATAGCGATGCTAATTACAGGTAAGTGTAAAGCTTTATGTGTCTGAGCACAGGTACGGCGGACAGGGTGTTAATAATGGAGACTGTGTTTTGAATACATACTTATCAACCACTGTTTGAATGCATTGTTTGGCGTCATTTGGTTTACCCAATAGTCTAAGAAGGACTCCCTTATAGAAGAGAGCGCTCAGATAATTGTCCGCTATTGTTGTGTTGTGTGACAATATAGAAAAACAATCGTGATAATTTATTAGTCATTAATCATGCTAAATTATGTAATTGTGTGTCACTCTTACAAATATTATCCTTAAAATGGTTGACCTCCTTCTCCACTCTAACCATGAATTTATTCAATAGCACTTCATTACCGCGGATCAGATTCAGCCAATTTAGTTGATACAACAGATCCTATATATGCATTGATTTAGATTTTGTAATTAATTAAAAGCATAAAATGTTTAGTATATGTGATATTATGAAGAATATTGACACAAAACTAACCAATTCCGGTAAAATAAGGAATTCCTTATTCTTAACGTATTTGATGGAACACTCGACGGCTACCTTCTCAGGGGTTATTGTTTTGCCCAAATGTCTGATCCGGAGGGTCGGTATAGATCTGGTTTAGTGCGATTATGAGAGCAACAAAATAATTAATTATTTCTCCATAATTATAATATCAATCAATCATTAAAAATAGATAAACAATTAAACTGGTGTCAAATGAAGTGCAAAAAACAGGATAACTTACTCCATGAGTTTGGAGACAATAGCCTTCTGCGAGACATCGCATTCTTCCATTGCCTTCACGTACCGGAAGACGGCCTCAGCATAAGTGGTATAAGTGGGCGAGTGTTCAGTGCCTTTGCGCACGAGTTCCGCGTATTTGATACACGCGTCCCAATCAGACTTAAGCGCGTGAGAAAACATTAGCTCAAAGTGGACCGCCTTATGGAAAGCGATGTATTCATTCTTCAGCAGCTCCTCATTCATGGCTATGGATGTGTCCAAATTGCCCTTCACTTGTTCCAGTTTGGCCAGGGCACCCAGATACACGATGCTCTATGTGAATATATACATACACAATTTGTTATTTCATTTAGTTCAATTATGATGGCCTAGATTTTTATTACAACAACCACATTGTCTATTAGCATGATTATTTTTTGCTCGCAATAACAAATAAAGAGCAACCAATAGAGGTTGTATTGGCCATACCTTTGGGTGTTCGCCGAGCTCTTTGCGAATAACCTCTTCGCAGTGTTTCATGTCTTTATTGAGTCCTAACCCGCCGTGAGATTTGCCGTAAAGCCAGTACACAATGAAGAACGTACGCGCGAACCGGGCGTTCATACCGGGCAACTCGAAAGCGGCCTTGTTCAACTCCTCCAGACCCACACTCTCCTGTCCCTTATAGCCCAAAATGTTGATAATTCTCAGTATCTTCGGTGGTATTTGACTGATGGCCAGATTCTTGAGCCCATTAGCGAACCGCACGCCGGCCTCGAAGTTCTGTCTCGACGTCTCGTTCTCCCATTGTTTCCTCTTCTTCAGTATCACACGACAGCCCCTATAGTGTTGTTGTCATCACAAATTACCATCATGTAAATTTGTTATCATAGTGTTTATACAGTGTATGTCACTTGACAATCGTGACTAGATTGCTAACTGTAGTGTGTTTAATATGTATATTTTTATGGATTATAAAAATGCAAAATGTCAAGTATTTGTGTCACTTTATTGCTTATGAAAACATGTGTTAATTAAATTAATTATTCACAAAAATAAAAACTTACTTAAAGTTTTTGATAAACTTTTGCAAACGATAGGCAACTTTAATGAGTCCGTAGATGTTATGAGTTTCCATACCGCATATCAATGCACTCATGGACAGGTAGAATGTATGCAACAATTCAGCATGCAACTCCACTACAATAATTGTGTATAATTTTATTAAACTAACCAACATAAAAACAACTAATTAATTAATACGTACAGTCGGTGTATTTGTTATAGTTGGGTGTTTTGACAATTTTTAGTGCACTAATCAATATGCCATGTTTGCGGATCTTATTGGTCTGTTTGGCCAACACTGTTAGACTTTCATGCGCTTTATCAATATCCTCCTGCAAATTATCACGATTAGTAGTTTTATACCTTGTTTTACAATTATATTAAAGACAGTACCTTGCTCATTGATGAGAACGCGATGATAATAAGGCCAACACATTTGAGAAAACTATGGTAAATGCTCTTGCTCACATGAGGCTCCAATTCGGCCAATCCTTTGCAAATGTCATTTGTTTGAATTGTATCTAGATAGATCTTTTGTGCCGATAGTATTGATTCTTCAATTGGCATATGTTTTCTAAGTAAATAAAAATATATAAAATAATTCAAATGAAATATTTTGCAAATAATAATCAATAATTGCATTAAAATTTCAAAAAATAATTTACGGATTATTATTGGAGTCATCCGACATGATTGTAGATTAGATATAAAACTGTATATTAAAAATAAATATAATGATGACTTTTCTTTAGGGCAAGTAATAAAAAACAACAAAAAC